TGCCTGGAAACTTATATGGTGAAATTTTGATAAAATAATTTAGTACACACTAAAAACACGGTATGTCGCTTGTGGTAGGAAAAATAATTTTTAGAGGTTACTAGTTTATTTGGTTAGATATGCATATACAGGGTGTTTCCTAATTAATCTAAAAAATAAAAAATCATTAGAAAACGAATTAAGGCGGGCTCTTAATAAGTATATTTATTTTTTTCTCGACAACCGTTTGATGAACAAGAAAAACTCAAAAGATCAATTTTGTTGAAAAAGGATGGCCAGTCAAGAAAAAAATATATTTTCTTTAAAAAAGCAGTGGCGTACCATTTATGTTAAGCAAAAAATCTATTTTTTTTTTAATTTTTAACACCCTGTAGATCAGAAAGGAAGTACTTTAGACCCAATAGTTATATAAAAATTGTTTTAAGAACACATGAGGAATCACACCATAATTTTTTTAGACTAATTCGAAAACACCCTGTATATTGTCAACTTGACAACGACTGCTGATATTGAAATATATTCAAAATCTAAATATTTAAATTTAATTTTATTAGATGATAAATAAAAACCCTACACTAAGACACATACAGACGAATCGAACAGAAACTTAACTAACTTAACACCGATGCTCCGTTTCTGTCGTACTGACCAGTACTATATCAAAAACATTGTTTCCTTTCAAGCCTTCCCAAACACCCACGATTTTTCTTTTCTGAACATTACTTATGTTTGGACTAAATTTTCTCGAAAATAAAGACAATTTAAAATTGTGTTACAATACGGAAATATATTGTAGTTTTGTGATCACAGTGATATAATAATTTATATGGTTTTGTAACAAATTGCTCGCTATTTTATGCCAAATGCTGAAGCTCTGCAAACTTTAATCAAGTCTTAATCAAAGCACGTGTGTTTGGAATTTTGGGTGTGGCTTAACACGACAGGATCGGGCTAAGCCTTAGGCAGATTGCTGAAATATAATATACAGGGTGTCCCATTGCACTTATTGCAAATATTTTAACTGGTAGTACAGTTCAACCCCAGAAACACGCCTATGAGGTTTTTTTGCGAAAAAAAAGTGTTGAAAATTTAAAATTTTTCTTGACATTTTCCGGGAAATTTGAAAAAACTTTTTAGTGCCACTTGTTTATTCACCTGAGATTTCCCTACGGTGTATCTAAACCTTGCAGTGTTGCAACCTTCTATGTTATCCACATTCTACATAGTTCGGCGGAACATAGTCCTACATTTATAAATTCATAGACAAATTTCTATTCAAAAAATTAGGAATGTTAAATTTAATCTTTTATCAGTGCTCATTATTAATAATTATAGAAAAAAACACATTAATTATTTTTAGTACTTACCCTTTCAATGAAAACTTAACAAAAACCACCGAAAATTAACTAAAACATTACGTTTATGACGTTTACGAAAATCTTTGTTATGCTGCAAAATAACTTTATTTTGGAATAAATTTAATAAAATGATTCATATTATTCACAATCAGGTCACAAAAAGAAATTCCTAAAATGTTTATCGTAATTTAAAATTCAATTCAAGAAATTTAGAAAACAGCCCAACGAATAATCGATTCATTTTTGTTTTGTTTGTTTTCTTTCATGTTTCCCTGTTTTATTTGAACCACTGTTTTACAAAACACCTTGAAAAGCGTACATTACTTTGAATACCTTGCTGAATGAATAAATGTTGAGAATTATTGTCTCTTATCGCCACATTACGAATTACTTTCAATCTAAGAAAATACATGTTTCACTCAACAATTATTGACAACGTATTTTGTTTTTTCGCTATTTTTTCGATATATTTCGACAATTCCATCGACAGCCTAACCGGTCGTTCTTCTCTGGCCTAACCGTCAGCCAAGAACCGCCGCGTGTGAATTGGTCCTTTGAGTCGCCGGTCGCCGCGCCGTCGTGGCGGGCTTGCGTCAGACGATGATGTTAAGCAACGTTGCCGTAGTTACAACAATTTCAAATTCAAGACATTCGAAGCAATCAAATTCGTATTAAATTTTAAAAATAAAACAGAGAAACATGAAAGAAAATAAACAAAATAAAAATGAATTGGTTATTCGTCGGGCTGTTTTCGATGTATTGAATTCTTAATTACGATAAACATTTTAGAAATTTCTTTTTTGTGACCTTATCAATAACCAATTCATTTGTGTTTTGTTTGTTTCCTTTCATGTTTTTCTGTTTTATTTTTAAAATTTAATACGAATTTGATTGCTTCGAGTGTCTTGAATTTGAAATTGTTGAAATTACGGCAACCTCGCATGACGCAAGCTCGACACGGCGGCGCGACAAAGGAGCAGTTACCAGTGATGCGCCGCTCTCTTGGCCGGCGGCCGACGCGACGATTGGGCTGTCGATGGAATTGTTGAAATACATAGAAAAAATAGCGAAAAAACAAAATACGTATTTAAAATTGTTGAGTGAAACATGTATTTTCTTAGATTGAAAGTAGTTCGGAAAGTGGCGGTAAGAGACAATAATTCTCAACATTTATTCATTCAGAAAGGTATTCAAAGTAATGTGTGCTTTTCAAGGTGTTTTGTAAATCAGTGATTCAAAATTGTGATGAGGCCTATATGAAAATAATGTGTTAAAAATGGGGACTGTTATTTTAGTAGTTATTATAATAACTACAGCATGTACAAGTAAAGCAGCACAGTGAAGTGTATTTTAGTTAAGTGTATATCGAAAAAGAGAACTGTCACAGTTACATCGATCTGTCATAAATATCTTTTTTAATGTTGGGTAAGTTTTTTAATTTAACTTTTTTAACACATTTTTTAACACATTATTAAACATTTAACTTTTAATTTATTTTATCTAATAATATCACAATCTTAAAAATGTAATGCATTTCTGCAAACTCCTCAGGTATTGTGATTTTATGACTTACTTTTAACATATACTTTCTTGTCCCTATGGCAACACAGTGCGTCGAATTAACTGAAATCCGGGTTTGATCCGGGTAATTGGATGTAGTTGGCGATATCTGCCGGCGGTTCTCAAAATGTTGCGATTATTTAGTTAAATTTTTAAAGTTAAATAACTCGGTTATTTTCAATTTATTTTAAAAATGGTAAAGAGAAAATATGTTTATTTTGACCAGATCTACCACCCCTTAAAATATCTGCACGCATTTCTGGGACACTCTGTATATTTCCTTCGACCACACACCCGCTTTACCCGACCCCTAAGAGCGACTCGAAAATACAGCGTAATAGACTCTTAAGTTTAAATTTCTTTCTTCTTTTCTACACATTTTCTTTGTCATAAGAAAGTAACAAAAATAAAAAATCAATATTCGATAAACGAATTGATCAAAGAAATTTCTTAATTATTGGAAGTAGCCTTTAACATCATCAACTGCAATTAATCAAGTATTATGAAATATAACACATTTTGTCTGGTAAATATATTAATATATGTCGTTGTTTTAGCGACCTCAAAATATTTATAAACTCTGAAATTTTGACAAGACAATTGTGATTTGTGTTCACCCTGCAAAATAAATAACTTTATAGGAAAACGTCAAATCGAAAAAATCTATACAAAGAATATTTTTTTTTGGAAATAAAAAGGAAACAAAGTTTTATATATTGTGTTCTAGTGGACGGATTATGATGAATTTTTAAGCAATTTGCTGCTAAATTATTTGACTTTTTAATGTCTCTTTCTAAATTAAAAATGTAAGTTGTTATCTATCAATTATACGAGGAAAAACAAAACGTTGATATTTTGGTGAAAGTTTTAAACACCCTGTGGAGTACGATAACATACCAAATAATTTAAAAATACTTGTATATTTCCTCGATAGTTTCTTTTTTGATTCATCTTAATTAGCTTAATTTTTTTTTGAATATAGGTATTCGTTTTTGAAAAAGACAAACATTTTTTCGAATTTTTTATATTAAAGCCATGCGTTTGCTTTTGGTCCTAGTCAACAGACCTATAGAGTAGTGTTTATGATTTATGACATGTTACTGTCTTTGAAAAATCATATTATTATTCTCTGTTGGACAGTTACTCTAGCAGATATGGGGTTTTAAGTTCTAAAGTTGATTCTACCATGATCAATTGAAGCAGCAATAGCCTATAGTTCAGAACTCAAAACCATCTCTAATAGAGTAAACGTCAATAAACAATAATAAAATGACTTTTCAATGACAGTGACATTACAAAAACAATAAACACTATTGTTATAAGTGTGTTGATGAGGACCCAAAATCAATCCAAGAATTGCTGTAAATTGTTACTCTCTTATTCAAAAGCGAATATTTCCAATAAAAATAAAGCTATTGAGATGAATAAAAAAAAAGCTATTGTGAAAAAACGTACTTAGATGACAATCTTACTTTTAAATTCCTTGCTTTGTTAACATATTCCTCAGGGTGTTTCAAACTTTCACCAAAATATTAACATTTTGTTTTCCTCCGTATAATAGACAGATGGAAACTTTCATTTTTAATTTAAAAAGAGTCACTAAAAAGTCAAATAATTTAGCTACAAATTGCTTAAAAAATCATCAAAATCGGACCACTAGACCAAATATATTAAACTTTAAAATACATCAATATTTTTAAGGTAGGTACATGTTTTTCGTGCCGGTGTGTGTATTTTTATCGTCTAATATAACTCTAACAAAAATTTGTATGTATTGTTGTAAAACTAACTATTCGAATATTTGCTTAAAAAATATTTGTCACAGATAAATATTTTACCGACTTCTTCGGCTTCCTTGCTTAGGGGGTTAAGGGTTTAAGTTAATGACTCAAGCTATTCTAATACTTTTTTTAAACGGACTAGCTGGACATATGACATCTCCCCTCCTCTCCGCTTCTAATTATCATACCATTATGTAATTTCAGTACGCATCAAAACAAGTAGTAAAAGCCGGCATGGCAATTTGCGAAAGTGGGCAGTTTTCGAAATATTTTAGTTTAAACTATCGATGCCGTCTAACCGACGCGCGACGGAGTGTTAGCGTTAACGTAAGTTTTTTTTAATTTGTGGAAAGAATCGAGCACCTAGTAGCTCAAAATATGGGAAGTATGGCCAGCAAAATTACGAGGATACTCTTCTAAAGTAGGTTGAAGAGACTGGCAGCGATAATAGCAAAATAGTGACATAGAATCCGAATGTGGCAAAAATTTTGCCATAGAGAGCGATCATGATTATGAATTCGAATTATAAGGTAAAAAAATATTTTTAACTAATATCTAATGGTATGTAGCTGTGTATGTTTTGTTATAGATGATGAAAAAATGGATGTGAACGATCAGTATATTAATATCGAAGAGAGTGAAGGGAACAATTTGTTTTATTCTTTATATATATATTTTCTTTTGCTTAGTAGATAGGTTTTTATATGTATTTTTCATTTTCCTTTCGTTTTTTTTCTGTCTCGATGAGAAACAAAGATATGTGAAAAATCAAAAACTAGTACTTTTATTTCAAAAATATAAAACATGTTTGCATAATATAAGCATTAGATATTTTTTTCCTGTAGTTTTAATGCTAACGATTCACAATCTGACACAAACAAAATTTGTATTTTTTTAATGCATCTCTCAGATCATCTGTTAGTATAGTCGCGACTATTTCAGTATGTTAGTAGGGTTAAATCAATAAATTTATAGGTACTGTAATCTGGTTGATGATAATGATTTTTTTTTATTTTTCATAGAAAATAAATAGTATTACAATTTTAATCTTTGTCGTTTTTGGGTTAGTTACAGCACATTCGTTTCGGAACTCACACTGTATTCTCCACCGGTTAACTGATATCCCCTTCCAGCCAATTGTGAGTTAGGTTTCGAACGAGCGGTCACTAAGGGGGACCTGTGCTAATCGTCCCCGCACTTTATGAACTGATGTCCAGTCGACGAACGACCGAAGATGCTCTAGCGTCTTTTGGCAGCCGACGGGCTTTCTAAATAGGTCCGAGATGACTGTTTCAATAAAAAATACGACTCTGCCACTGTCTTTCTGTACTCTGTTGCGAGATGCGAGGATTTATCATTAGAACTAAGCTGTCGGACGTTGTTAGAAAACCGACTATTTTTACATCTATCGCATTTTTTGGAAACGTAACATATTTATAAATTTTCTATAGTCTACACCTCATCAGATAAATAATAAGAAAATTATTCTACGGTATGTCCCCGGATTGTCTTTACAAGAGGAAAAACTTTTTTATTATTGACATATTGAGAAAAATGCACTCTTCATACAAATTTTTGCTTGTTCTAAAATTGTTAATCCCGTTTATACTTTTCCAAATTTACATACCGATTTGGAGAAAATTAAAAAAAAACATGAAAACAGGGTTATTTTTGTTGTAAGTCTTAAAAATCAAAATGCGTTTCTATGGTAATAACATTTCGATTTCACTCTTTGGTAGATGGTTATTATTAATTTTGATTAATGTCATATTTTTTGCTGTTGTTAAAGTACCACATTTTCCGATAAGTATTATCACCCTTTTCGCAGCATTGAACTAAATAAATGTTGAGCATATTTAACATTTTAAAACAGCAAAAATATGACGTAAATTAAAATTCTAAATATAAAAATCTATCAAAGAATGAAAACGAAATTATATTATCATAGAAACGCGTTTTGATTTTAAGGAAGAAAAAAATCAACAGTATTTTCATGTTTTTTTTTAATTTTCTCTAAAATGGTACGGAAATTTGGAAAAGTATAAAGAGGATTAACCATTTTAGAACAAGCAAACATTTTTATAAAGAATGCATTTTTCTCAAAATGTTAATAATAATCTTTCCTTTTAAAAATGTCTATACCTAGGTGCGGATTCATCTCTCCAAAAATATCCTTTATGGGTATTTCGCCACTGCACTGCAAGAAAATCTACAAAATAAAATAGTTATTTTTTGTAAACACTTCTGCGTTAAACCCTAAACGGACACTGCTAGTCAGAAGTTATGTTTACAGTTATACAAATTTGCCTAACAAAGAAAAAAAATGCTTAAAATCATTTTAAATTTGATTTTAACAGAACGTTCAACGGTTTCTTGTAGACGTATCTGTTTTAAAAGAGTAAAGTGCTCTCGAATAGTTGAATTTAAATATTTTAAATAGTTTTTTTCTTTATTCTTTGTATTTTTTTTTTGCTTCTGACGACGGAAAAGATAAACTTTCCGAAACGTTAAGCATTTTTTTCTTTGTTAGGCAAATTTGTATAACTGTAAACATAACTTCTGACAAGTAGTATCCGTTTAGGTTTAATGCAGAAGTGTTTACAAAAAATAACTATTTTATTTTGTAGATTTTCTTGCAGTGCAGTGGCGAAATACCCATAAAGGCATTTTTTGGAGAAATCTTTCCTTTTGTAAAGACAATCCGAGGACGTACTGTAAATTCTCCATTAAATCCACAAAGTTTAAATTTCTTTCAAAAACTTAAAAAAGTGTCTTAGAATTATTTTAGAAGTCAATATCCAGTGGCCCCAAAAAAAGGCATAAAATGGGGTTTTTCAATTACTATAAGAGACAGGTAAATTCGGGTAGTGCATTTGGTTTTGAAATTAAAAATTAAGTATACCATTATAAAAAAAAAAGAAAGAAATATTGTGACTTCCAAGTTGCTAGACTTTTTGAAAAGGATAAGGCTGGAGAATGTAACTTAAGTATTAGAAGGGGACCAAACAATAGATCTGAAAAGGTAGCAATGAAACAGGCCAATAGCCACCTCGAAGAATCTAATCTTAATCTAGGAAGTGGTCATAAATGCCGACTCGTTTTTTTGCATTATGACCTTCATCAGTACAGTCTATCAAAGTTATAAATGTGCGTCCAGACTTGTTACAAAACCTTGTGACGTCAGGGAGTCGCGTTCAATTTCATCCAAGGCGTACTTCATGAGTGTCATCATCGCATGCTATCGTCGCGCATGACAAGCGTGTTAGCAGCGTTCCCCTCATTTAAATAGAAACAATCATCATGGACGTTGCAGCAGCATATACCGGGTGCGTCTCAAATATGGCTCACCCCTATCACTTTCTTATTTTTTCAGAGAAAAAAAACGACATTTGGTTTATATTTGGTTGTATATAACATAAATTAGGATTGATTGACGTATTCAATCGTTTTCGGTCACTTCCTGTTTCACAGGAAATTCTACAACTTTTGATATTTAAATGATACCCTAGGTATTTTTTTACTTTATTTTATAGAAAATGCCACTTTGCATAAAATGACATATTATATACAGGGTGTTACAAATTCGGGGTACGCACATTGGTATCTCGGTAACCGTAATTGATGTAGAATGAAGAATGTCTAGGAGGGGAGTTAATCCCCATGACCTTACAGATCTATTGTGTGTTCCCCTTTCTTGAGTTATAACGAGTTATAACTCATCATACAGTCACAGGGCTTTAACAAAAGCCAGTATCTGAGACGGCTCCACAGAGGTATCTGGGGAGCTCTCCATCCTCGACATCGGCCGTACCAAAGTTCATGGCACGAATGGTCGTCGTCTCGGCGCACTCAATGATAGGGTGTTCTGGTGTTTCCCCATTTTCCCGACAAAATCTGCATTCGCTGTTGTTTCTCAGCTTCAGCCTACTGAGGTGTTCGTTGAGGAGACAGTGTCCTGTTAGAAATCCCGTGACAATCCGAAGATTGTTTTCACTTAAATCAAGGAAAACCTTTGATTTTTCTCGGTCGTAAGTCCTGAGGAACTTCTTCGAGTGTCTTAGACCGTTGGAGGACACCCATTCCAAGTTACGGATGGAGTCTTCCAGATTCTTCAGTTCCGCTTTCAGTTGGTTCCCCTTTGGAAAACAGAACGGTTCTGGTCCAGTAAGTGGAGTGTTTGCTCCTTTCCTAGCTAGATCATTTGTCCAAAAAAATCCTTTATGCGTATTTCGCCACTGCACTGCAAGAAAAATCTACAAAATAAAATAGTTATTTTTTGTAAACACTTCTGCGTTAAACCTAAACGGACGCTGCTTGTCAGAAGTTGTGTTTACAGTTATAAAAATTTGCCTAACAAAGAAAAAAATGCTTAACGTTTCGGAAAGTTTTCTCTTTCCGTCGTCGGAAGCAAAAAAATATAAAGAATAAAGAAAAAAACTATTTAAAATATTTATATTGAACTATTCGAGAACACTTTACTTTTTAAAACAGATTATTATATCTCTGTACATATTATTTTTGTTCTTTCATATAAACTTTATATAACACCTTTTTTTACACTTATACTGTGATTAGATGTGAAATTTAAGTATCTATCTGTGTTTGTGGGTTTTCTGTAAACATCTAAAATTCATTTATTTTGAAACTTTGATACTAAAACATCAAGAAATGGCAAACGATGGCTCTCTACTTCCAAAGTAAATTTTTGTGGTAGGTTCGCGAGAATTTATATAATCCAAAAAAATGTCTATTTCAGAAACGTTATGTTGCCATATTGCAAAAATATCATCAACATAACGCAGCCATATTACAGGCTTTTTTGAAAAACTATTTATTGTATTATTTTCAAAATCTTCCATAAAAATATTACTTAACAAAGGAGAGAGAGGTGATCCCATTGCCATACTGAAATCTTGTTGAAAAATTTCATTATTTAATTGGAAATAAGTAGTTTTAACAAGTGTCAACAATTCCAAAATACTATCTATGTTTAATTTTGTTCTATCTATTAAATGTGTATCTTGTTCTAATCTATCCCTAACTATTTTATGTGATTTATCTACCGGCACATTAGTGAAAAGACTAACAACGTCAAAACTAACCATTAAACTGTTAGGTGTTATATTAATTTTTGAATTTTTTTCTATAAAGTGTGGTGTGTTTTTAATGTATAAATCGGTGTTATTTTTTTTGTTTTGAGTTTTTTAGATTATTTAAGAAAGGGAGATTTTCACAAATCTAAGATTTGTCAGCATTCATGGGACACAGGGCACAGAATAAATTTTAATAACGTCAAAATTATAATGAAAGAAGCGATAGCCTCTAAAAGAAAAATAAAAAAAGTAGTGTATGTAATGTATGGCAATCGCTTCTTTGATTTTAAAGAACATAACATAAATAAACATAACATACGTAAAATTTAAAAATAATCATACAGAAAGTTTGGGCTTTTTGGTTTTACCTTATTAAGTAATTGTTATCAGGTAGTAATTGTTAATTTTGAAGTTTAACTTAATATAATGTCATTTTAACAGAACGTCAACGGTTTCTTGTAGATGTATCTGTTTTAAAAAGTAAAGTGTTCTCGAGGAGTTCAATTTAAATATTTTAAATAGTTTTT